CTTTTGTGGATTTGAAGAATCTGCCTTTTAAGCGACAGGATCTCTCTTCCTGGGTAAGAATTTGGCAAGAAGAAGAGACTTAAGAGACTTTGAGTGGCTAAATGTATTGCTGTTGATTCAACGATGCAATCCTGAGATAACAGTTCAGATGCATTTTGTGATGTCCTAGGATAAGTTGTTAGCACTTTGTATTCTAACAATTGAATTTTGTCCTGGGATGAAGTGGTTTACACACACACACACACTGCCAGAGTGTGTGTGTATATATATACACACACACACAAATACAGCCCTGTGAGCATCTACCAAAGTTTGGGAACAGGGAGCAGTCTCTGTCTGCCTGGCCCGAACCTTTATTAACTATCCTGGACCCCAGCCAGACAGTGCAGGAACCCCTTCAAGCACTTGTCCTACCCAGTGAGAGATCCCCAGAAGCTGACTGGTGTCTGAGCATACCCCAGGGACTTTGGCCTGTCCTTTCAGCTGCCCATCATACACCTATTCCTGTGGACAAGGCTCCAGTGCCATAGTATTATCAAAGAGGAGTAAAACAGTCAGACCATAGAAGTGACGCTTTACTAATTTGGAGCTGTCTCCAGTGGTATAAAATAGGATGCCTCATTGGGAGATGAGATGGGAGGAAAAACAATATCAATTATATTATAAAGATGATTCTTGGGATATTCTGAAAACATTTCCATGGGGTCTTGATTTTTCCAAGTGGACCATGTGTGAGAAAGGAGTGAGAAGAGGAGATATAGAAGAATCAGTTTCTCAACATCTCTGTGTAAATTAACAGAGGGTAAGTTTCTGGTTGCTGTTTCATCTGCTTTGCACTGCTTCAGCAGCTTGGCAAAACAGCTGGAAAACCAAGTAAAATAGCTACCTGGCATTTTTGTCAGTCTATGGAAGCCCAAGACAACAGTAGAGTCAACATGTCTGGATGATGACAAGCCATGCTTCTGGATCAGGATATACAGGGTATATCAGGGGCATGAAGAATGAAAGAGACTGATGGAGATGTTGCAGGTGGTACAACTTTGTATAGCTCTGGGGCTACCCTTGGTTGCTTCACCAAATCATACCAATTCCTTTTAAGGTAAAGAAATTTGCTTGTAGATACTTTTATTCCTCCTCTATTCTGTGTTGGTACAACCAGTCTTCAGAATCTGATCTTGGTGCTTAAATCCTTACTGATATTTATGGAGAAGAACATCCCCCAGAAAAAAACTAACTTTTACACAGTGACCCTTTTGGACTGCTTGCTCTATTTTTCACAAGGCAACATTAAAAAGTATTGGCATATTCAACTGATCTTTGTGATCCCTAATAAATCAAGAGAAACTTCCAAATAGATGTCTGACAGATTTTTTTCCTTAGGTTTTGGACGGACTTGAAAACAGATTTTCAATGCTACTTCAGCTGGCTCCTTATATATCCCTTCTCCCCATTTTTTCCCCAAGGGTGACTTCAGTGTTCATGAACATTGCCAGTTAGATGTACTGTTTTGTCCTCTCAGAGAAGTGGCAGAGAAACTTTTTCACAATGGACTGCCAGTATGAACTTAATCCTGATGTACAAGGACATTCTCTAGGGAGAAGAGAGAGGGTTCAAGCTCAATGCCCATTCACTTAGTGTCCCTCCAGAGGCTGTCAGCAAGGGGGCAAGCAGTGCTAATTTTAGCCTTTCATATTTATTTTTCTTTATAAATTACATATGCAGTTTACCTAATTGACACGGGAACTGAAAATTCAGCATGGAATGTGAAAATCCAGCTGGTCTCCTCCTGCCAACTGCATTGCAAATATGATGATTCTGGAATCAGAAGTTAGCCTGTGTATTATTGATGGTGCATGGAGCAGAACTGAATGCAGTTCTCCCTTCCACTGCTTCATTTGCTCAGCTGCACTAACAACAGTGGTTTATATCAGTCAGTTAAGCAGGCAGGATCCAAGTGACAAATGGGGCACCAAAGTGGGTAAACAGAAAGCCCTGCTTTTAAAGAATCACATTTACATCTTTCAGAAACATAATTCACCAGGGAAATGAAGTGTGGTGATTGTGAACTGTCATGTAGGTTTAAGAGAACAAGGGAAGGTATGAGAGTTTCCTAAAACCCACAGAATTTTTAACAAGCACGTCTTTGTTTGAAGGAACAAATTGTGTAGTCATGAGAAAGTACTGCATTTCTTATTTTGCTAAACCACCACCAAACTGGATTAAACCCTTACAGATTTCAACTAACGTATGTGGTTTTCACGAATCCCCCATGTCAAAGGAGGTTATACACGGTATGATGAATAGGAATTACCTTTGCACCTCAGAGTAGTTGTCAAGGAGAGCAACACAGCTATAGTTACCATATATCATACTGAATAATGCACAATTTATATTATACCCCTGGAATCTATGTGTGTGCAGGTGTGTGCGCATGTGTGTGGACACATTATTTCATGTATGATGCTCTAAATTTTGAACAATACATATCAAAGGAACTGTTGTTTCCCAGAATGAGTACAACTTAGAAGTATACGTTAAAGGCAAATTAAAACATGCCTGCTACATGCATCCTATAAGACTTTCAACTGCTATAACAAATGGAAATAAAGTACCTTTTTCCTCAGGATAAAGGTGAGTCTGGTGCTGAGGAAAATCATCAGAGGATGTTTATTGTGTTTAATTTCTCTGTGGGAGTTTGGCAGGGTATAAACATTTTCTTCACATCACAGAGTCTCTCATTATACCATGTGATGCAACAGAACATTATATGGTATAATTGTTCCACAGAGCTTGTACTTTTTAACCTGTCAGTGTGTCCCAGGATATAAAATGGATTTGCAATTCATGTCTTGGTGACAGCTGGAGGATTCAGAGAAGAGTAGTTGCATACATGCCAGAAGTCTAAAGTTAAAAGGTGATCTCTAGGTGGCTTAGTAGAATATATGAAACTTCCTTTCCTACTTCAGCAATGAGTGTCATTGCTGTGAAGGAGGAGTGGGTGTTGTTTCTTGAAGAAAGATATAGAAATTAAACATATTTCACTGTCTTTGATTTTTATCTGGAATTTTCAACATTTGGATGAAAACAAACAACAAACTAGTGAAGCATGGCAAGTTAATACCTTCCTGGGGTCTTCATGGTATGTCAGCTGAAGGTAGTTTTGACAGATACTCAGGCCTCTGTTTTGCAAACCTTACACTGAGGAGCACTTACTTACCCAAGTAATTGCACTGAAGCAGAAACTCAGTATGGGTTCACTGTGGGTAAAAGTTGCAAAATCAGACCATTGAGACCTGTCTGTTAGGAGATCCTCAGGTCACTTAAGATGAGTCAACTAAAGGTGCAAAGTTATTGCACATAAATTAAAGCACGTTAAAACCTTGTGTGGATGCTCTTATTCAAGTATCAAGTGACCGTAGCTCACTTTAGTTTAATTCACCTAATTTTCCCTTTCTGCCAGAAACTTTGGACTGCTAAGAATGAAAAGCATTCTATTTCCAAAGTGTTTCATTGCTTATTTCTGCTGAGTATCAGAAAAATATTAAAATGTAAGCCTGCAACATTTATATGCCTGTAATCCAAAAGGCTGCTATTTTGATGTTCACTTTGGAAGACTGTAATACAGTAGCATGATATGCCTAAAGGATGCAGTGGCCTATTTGTTGGGCGAACATCATTTCAGATATTGATGAATGTATTTGGATTACAACAGAGGCACCTGTTGTGGGTTTCTCTGCAGAAAGCTACTCTTTGGATAAGAATATCAAGGATATCTAAAAGTTAGTATGACCCAGAGGGAGGTTATTGACCTCACAGAGAAAAGCTGTCCACAGTACTCTGATGCACTGTCCCCTGTTCACACAGTGAGCAGTTTTGTCACAATATATATCAAATACTAAGAATACGCCAGTCAGAAGAAGTCTAAGTTAGAATATTTTAAAGTGATGATATTGAAGTGCCTCATTCATATAATTCCTTTTTCCTCCCTGCCCTTTTATTACTGTTATCCCCTGGTACGTACCGATAATATTGCTCCATGCTGATAAAAGGGCAACATGACCAGAACCTTATCTTTTCAACAAAGTGTAGATAATCTCTTGTAGCCACCTAACAAGGGCCTAACAGGGACCTTGGCACATACCCAGAATCAGTTCCAAGTGATGCACAATGCCAGGTTATTCTGTTCCTTAGCACAAATAAATTAGTAAGCATCTTATTTGTGTTGGACATTAGGACAGACTTTTTCATGTTAACACTCCAGCTCATAGGCAAAACTCTTAACATTTGTGCCCATCTGAAGTGGCCAAACCAAAGTCTCCTTCCTTAAAAACAACCTACTATTTTTGGCTTCAGTTCAGTTACTTGATTTTGGCCACATGGCTCTTAATTTAATGAAAGCTTCATATTTACAACTGGCTTTAATTTTTGATTTTTATGCCTAGGACACAGATGACACTAAAGGGAAGACATGTCTGATAGAGGCAAAAAAGAGATTCACAAGGGAGCATTATATAAGAGGAATTAAATGAACAAAATTCTCAACTACTTTGGCATACGAAGGCTTCTAGGAAGTCCATGGGGCATAAAAAGCTGAAAAGGACTTCCTGTTTCTTCATTTTCATCTCTGCTTGGTAGAGGCACCATGAGATGGAGTCCCTTAGACAAGGAAAGCTGGCACACTTGGAACAATGAATAAATGAATCACTGGTTCAGACAAAGAAACCTTTTGCCTGATATATGTTTGAAGATGGAAGAGACCCCTTATTTCATCTGCACATCCCCCAAATTCCTTGAGAATAATTTTTTTAAAAAAAAAGGGTGGAGGGGTTGGAGAGGTAAATGCAGTTCTCAAAGATGAACAATTAGCCTAACATTATGATTCTCAACATGAGACCTTGAGAAAAGTACTTAAATTTGCTGTGAACCTGGCAAACAACCTTTGCAATACAGGTTCTTTTGGATTGCTCCTTGCCTCCATGCATTCTAAACCTTGTCCCTCCTGAACCTTTTGATGTTTTATTTATTGTTCAAGTTTTCTTACATTTTTTTTTCCAAATGGACACACATCAGCAGACCGAAAGAAAAGAAAGGGTATTATTACTCTATACAAACTGAAACAAATCATAGACACTAAAGCCCTTCTCCATGAGACCATCAGGAAGCAAGAAACTGTGCCTCAAGGCTGCTTTTTCTACTGACCCTTCCTTTCATCCCAACATTCCCCAAGAAAAAAGTTTTTTTAAGTGCAGTTCTCGAAGATGGAGCTGAGGCCCCATGTCAGTGTCTCCACTGGGCTCCTTGATTGCACATTCCATACTAGAGCATAAAGTGCTATGGCATTGTTTTTTTGTGTGTTTTTTTAAACTTGGAACTTCTTCCCCCTTTCTGTGATTTTTATTTTTTACCTTGTGGCTCCTATGTTCTTGTAATGACACATAAGAAGGTGCTTAAAGGTTTTCTTGAAGGTAGCATTGCAGAGGGCGTAGCAGGCAGGATTGATGGTGCTGTTGATATAACAGAGCCAGTAACCAATAGTCCAAACAGTGCC